TGCAATAAATCAAACATTAAAACAAATATCGACAATGAAAGTATTTGGGTAGAGATTGGTGAGGGCAATGAGTCCGTAGTCATTGGTGTTATATATAGACCACCTAATTTGAGTAGGAACGATGGCAAATTGCTATGGGAGGAAATAAAGAAGGCATCTGATAGAAACAATGTATGTATTCTAGGCGATTTCAACTTTTCAGGCATAGATTGGAAAATCAACTTAGCGATAATGAATCTGAAGATTTTCTAGAAGTAGTACAAGATAGTTTTTTATATCAATTCATAAACTCGCCCACTAGAGGAAATAATATCCTCGATTTAGTTCTCAGTAATAATGAAAATCTAGTAAAAGATGTTGGGATTGGAGACGAACTAGGAAACAGTGATCATAAAGCCATATATTTTAACATAATATGGAATGGCAGGAAGAAGGAAAATTCGGCCTTGATCCCGGATTTTAGGAAGGCTAATTATGGTAGCTTAAGGAGAGACCTAAGGGATGACCCTATGGTCAAAAGATTAATCCCCCCCACACCTCTGGAAACTGTCAACTTAGGATGGGAGAACCCCGAATTTAATTTAGCAGCTACTTATGAACAATTTATTGCGACAATCAATAATGCTCAAAATAAACACATCCCTAAAAGAAAATTCAGATCGATACGGAACCAACCAAAATGGATGAATAATAGACCTTAGATCTTCAGAAAAGAAAGGAGTAGAGTAGAAAAGTTACAGGTTATGAAACGATTGCATTGTTGGCTTTACTAATGAACTGTATCAAGACAGGGTAAAAACGGGAAATCAGGAAAAAGCAAAGAGAAATGAGGAAATCAAGGTAGCAAACGAATTGAAAGTGTCATCTCAAAGCTTTTTATTGGGTAACTGTATAAATCAAAGGTTAGAGATACAATAGGTCCCCTTAAAACTACGACAGGAGAAATGACTGATGATGAGTTAGAAATGTGTAGTACGTTAAATAGTCATTTTCGCTCCGTATTCACAAATGAAAACCTAGCACAGTTTCCAGAAGTTCATAAGGTATATAACGACAGTATAGAACATTGGTTCTCAACCTTGTTTGCCCCATGCACCCCTTTCACCATATGTCAGAATGTCATTCCCCCCTCCTTTCCAAGATTGTCTGCCTCAAAAAGTTCATTCCAAATAATATGCATATAATACTGAAAAACCTTTATTTTTTCCATATTAGTACATATACATTTACAATTTTACATGGATTATTTTTATAGTGGAGTTTTACAAATTAAATGCCAATTGAAAATGTTGATGGATTTATAAAACTTGAATAAAAGTAAAATAGTTTTTTTTATTTATAATGAATTACTTAAAAGACCAAACTGAAGCATAATGCAATAAACAAAAAGTTCAATAGAATACCAGGATATTGTAAATTTGTAATTAATTTTATTCAGATGAAGATTACAGTCAATGAGAAACCTGTGATTGTTTTTTCTTTGCCAATTCTGGGATACGCGGAGGAGTGCTTGAAAGGGCACAACGCAGGTCATTTTCTACCTCTAATCTACTACGTTGCTTTGTTTTAATTTGCAACAGAGTTGAAAAGCCTGACTCACAAAGATATGTCGACACAAACGGAAGCAATGCACGGATAGCTCTTTCTGCCACTTTTGGGTAGGAATCGCACATCAAGGGCCAAAATTCTGTGATTGATTTCTCATCGAACATATCTCTTGCTCCCGAATCAGTTTTCCCCCCCCCCCCTGGTTGAGAACCACTGGTATAGAAAATATGTTGATGAATATCAATATTAGTAGTAACGATGTGCTTAAAGAAATTAACAAACTGAAGCCTCATAAATCGCCTGGTCCAGACGAGGTATATGCTAGAATATTAAAAGAATGTAGAGATGAGTTGAGTAATCCATTAGCAGTTTTATTTAATAAGTCATTAGAATCGGGCCTAGTGCCAGAAGCTTGGAAACTTGCAAATGTAGTTCCGATTTTCAAAAAAGGTGATAAATCAATTGCATCAAATTACCGTCCCATTAGTCTCACGTCAATCATAGGCAAGTTGCTAGAGTCAATTATTGCTACGAAAATCAGAAGCCATCTTGAAACATTCAACTCAATTCATTCTTCCCAGCACGGGTTCACCCAGGGACGTTCTTGTCTCACAAATTTGCTTCGCTTTTTCTCAGAAGTATATGAAGCGGTAGATAATGATAAGTCATATGATATAATTTATTTAGATTTCAGTAAAGCATTCGATAGAGTCCCTCATGAGAGATTGATAAGGAAGGTAGAAGCACATGGAATAGGTGGATCATTATTAAATGGATTAGGTCATGGTTAACTGGTAGGAAACAAAGAGTCAGCATAAATGGGTTTAAGTCAGACTGGGGTGCAGTCAAAAGCGGAGTTCCCCAGGGATCTGTATTAAGCCCTCTGCTGTTTGTTATATTCATTAATGATCTTGATTTAGGTATAACTAGTAGGATTAGTAAATTTGCAGATGATACCAAAATGGGGAGAGTGATAAATTCAGACAGTGACTTTGAACACCTTCAAAGAGATCTAGATACCTTACATGAGTGGCCAGTAGACTGGCAAATGAATTTTAATACTGATAAATGCATAAAAATGTTGGACCAGTGGAAGATTTAGCGACAAAACGTTAAGTATAAACTAGGTAATACGGAAGAAAACTGGATACGAAAAGATCTAGGTAGGGTCGTTAGCAACGACTAAAACCAGAAAACACGTATTAGCGTTTCAACATATGCAAACAGGATTCTGTCTACATTTCCAGGAGCAAGTATAGAACCGTTTACTATCTTTGAAACTTACCTTACATTAGTGGAGTCACACACAGATTATGCGGTTCAATCTCAGTGTCCTTATTATAGAATGGGACATAGATTCTTGGAGAGAGCACAAAGAAGAATGACAAAATGATCCATACACAGAAACCTTCCATATGAATATTACACTGTTGCTTAGGGCTTTAAAATTCATTAGAGAGGCAAGGAGTTAGGGGGAGACATGATAGATAAAACCAAGTGGTGTAAGGGATTAACAAGTGTAAATGGAAGATGTTCTGAAACTCAGTAATAACGAAATAACTAGAACAAATGGCTTTAAATTAGATAAATTCCGATTCAGAAAGGATATAGGCAAGCACTGGTTTGGTAATAGAGTTGTGGATATGTGGAATAGGCTACCGAGTGCTATAGTAGGATCGGGGACGCTAGGGAGCTTCAAGACGAAGTTGGATAGGCACATGGAAGTGGTGGGATGGGTGTGAAAGGGATCTGCCCTGTATGGGCCAGTCGGCCTCCTGCAGTATCCCACTTTCTTATGTTCTTATGTTCTTAAGAGAGAGAGAGAGAGAGAGAGAGTTATGAGGCGGTAAGTAAGGGAACAAGTAAGACAGTGTTGTAAAGGGAACTAACACCTATAACTACTTGACTCGACCTGTGGCTCTCTCTCTCTCTCTCGTAATGGATGGTGTAGTATAGTGTGGCACGTGATAATAGGCCTTTATACCTGTCATTACTAATGTGTTTTATCTTATATTGTCTATTTACACACACACACACACACACATGCACTCACACACATACCACACACATATATATATAAATATATAAATATATATATATATATATATATATATATATATATATATATATATATATATATATATATATATATGCAAGTAAATCACTGTGGGTGCGCGTGATCCAGGTATATGCTGATAACCACAAGGGAAGAAGTAAACAAATGCCTTAACATTACTAAGAAATCTTTCTATAGAACCGATCCCAAGCCCACCCATGACCATAAGAATCTCTTAGTATTACCATTTCACAAAAAATTCTCTCAAATTCCTTTACAACTAAAAACCTGGAACGTCAATGTGGCATTTAAAAACTCGTGCACTGTTAAACAAATGTTAATCAAGAACTCCCCCAACAATACAAGTGGCTGCATTTATAAGGTTCCTTGCAAGGAATGTAATATGTTTTACTTAGGCCAGATAGGTAAAGATCTTGTTTGTTCATTTGAAGGATAATAAGCATTGCATTGACTGAGTAATGCCTCCTCAATATTACCTTGTAATTCAATTGACAGTAGGAACATTATAGAATCTAGTCTCATTAAACATACCGAATCAGTCAACATGAATTGAGTAATGGTATGTACAAACTGGATAATTTCGTAATTAAGATGATTTGTAACCAGGTGAGAAGGTTGGGTCAGCTTACCCTCTGACCTGACTACCGACTGCTGCGGTGCTTTTTGAAGATTAGTAGGGTCATTACCTAATACCTGACCATTGTGGACTTGATCTCACCCTCCTCTGTATATATGTACCTTGTTTTGTACTTCTCCTTAGCCTGTACTCACCCCTGAAGATGTGAATTACACGAAAGCGCTTGGGAAATTCGTGTTTACTTCCTTCCTTGTGGTTATCAGCATATATATATATATATATATATATATATATATATATATATATATATATAAGAGTATATATATATATATATATATATATATATATATATATTCAAGATCCTGTTTTAACTCCAAATTCATTAATAATTATACATTACCTCGTGGTTAAGAGGGAAACATATCGTATTTATATAGTGGAGAGAAAATAAAAAGAGTGTGTGTGAGCTAGCTACCATACAGACATCTCCTTACCTTGAAGAACACTGGCACGCCATCAGATTCCTTCTTGATAGACATGGTCACCTTGAAGTTGGTGTCGCAATCCATCCTCGACACAGAGAATCGAACCCTCTTTTTGCCGTCTCCACAACTCCTCCTCCTGGCTGTGGTGTGCTCGCTGCCCACGATGATGGACCCCCTTCTCGTCGTCACCACCCCTTCACACACACTGACGCACGAGGACAGTTCTGCTGGCTGTGCTTCAGTCACCTCTCGAATGGTTTTCTGTGTTATCCCTCTTCTCGTTTTCTGTGGTTCCCCGCCCCGGTTTTTTTTGTTGCTACCATTCGACTTGTCCGCGTCACCGGCCGTCTCCTGAGTACTGCTGAGTGACAACACGTCTTTAGTAAATGATAATCAAATTCCACCTTTTAAGTATAGACCAAACAGTTAGTTTTCATCAAACCTTTATTGAAGACTGAATAATGTAGTTAATGAACGAGGAATATTTCCCAGGCAAGAGATATTTTAAGTAAGATTTCTATTGATGTAAGTCGGTGTTTAAGATCCACTTGTTTATATTAAGTTTCCAATGGCAATCTTGTATCTGAAACTCACTATTTTATGGGAGTTTCTCTTCATAAATCCCCTTTTAGAATTCAGTTACTTCTTTGAGATTCCAATTGTATTTTTTCCTTCGGGCGTCTGTTAACTCAATGTTTGAGTTGCTAGTGATCACGGCGCTGGTTGACACCACCACAGCATACACTTACAGGTTTTGGGTTCGATAAAATAAACAAATATTATTTGGCGGTTTTGCGTATAGATCACTTTGTTAGAAGTCAGGAAAATAAAATAAACAAAATTATATACACACAAATTGTACTTTAGAATTTTTCCAAGGAAAGGATGGTTCAAGATAGTGTGTGAACGCCTCTTACAGTACACACTTAAGTTCCTTGTTGACTTCTGAAGCGTAAGAAGATACTAACAAGGTCCTGTATGACCCAACTCGTACACAACAAATATATTTGACCTTATCCAAGAATGTCACCTGGTATTACTGCCCGAGACGGGAAGTGGATAATGTCCGCCACTCGTCTACCAGCTGTGTCTTATACTGTCACCTGGCCCGCTACACTCACTACCCGCGGCGTGATAGTGTATCACGCTTTAACAATCTCAACTTTTCTACAACTTCCTGCTTATTGGTTGTTGCCCCTCACTGCCCTGGTCACCTCTCCTGATAACAGTTTATGTAGTGATGAGAGGGTGGGAGGTTAACCTCTTGATAGGCGTGAGGGTGGGGTTGGGCGGGGCTTGGGTGGCGCGAGAGGATAAGGAAGGTGTTGGGGAGGGAGGGCGCGTGGCTGGTGGAGCGAGGGAGCGGAGAGGCACAGGGCCTGACTAGCTGTGAGCGGGCGGTGCCTCACACTGACTGTGGACTACACCCCTTACTGGCACACGTGGCACCCCATTCACCCCCACCCCCCCCTTCAAACCTTCACGCACGCGCCCCACATACACACATAGTGGTCATGGACTTACACACACGCCACAGAAACGCACACACCTGTGCATATTCGTATGCTTACACCTCACTGAGACACACACACACACACACACACTCACACAACACAGAAATACACATATAATATTTGGGGACAAGACGCTGTGCCATAGTAAATAAACAAGACCTGATGAAAATAATTGACGTAACTTTAAATACATTTTTTTCAAAGAGGTTTTAATAAAAGAAAATATTTGTTATGTCTGTGTTTGGACAAAGAAAAAGGGGATATACGAAAAGTCATATAAAATATCCCTATGTGGTAGTGGCGAGTTTTTCCAGACACGCAGGTAAGAAACACTATTTTATTTTTCTGTTTTCTTTTTTTTTACTTGTTTAATGTATTTATTTATTTCATTTTGTTGATTATTTATTTACTTATACATGGATTTATACATATATTTATTAATTTTTATTCATTTACTTATTATTGTTAAGTTATTTATTCATTCATTCATTTATATATTAATTACAAGCGGCAGACGTCACTAATGAATAAGTGGTAGAGATGAAACCCGTCTCTATCACTAGTGGCTGCAGGAGGGAGATGGGTGTAGAGGCAGACAGACACTGGAGAGGGTATAGGTGGCAGCACTGTGGTCCACTGTTACCCTCAGGGACACGCAACACTACAGCTTCTGAGGTAGTACATAAGAACATAAGAAAATAAGGAGTCTGCAATAGGCCGGTTGGCCTGTGCATGGCAGCTCCTGTCGAGAGTTACTACCACTCTCTATCATCCATGAATCTATCTAGCCTCCTTTTGAAACTTTCCAGAGTTCCCGCACATATTACAAAGTTGCTAAGCTTGTTCCACTCGTCCACCACCCTATTTGTGAATCAGTTTCTTCCTATCTCCCTCCTAAACCTAAACTTATCCAACTTGAATCCGTTGCTCCGAGTCCTATCCTGCTCGGATATTATAAGAACTTTATCTATATCCCCTTTATTGATTCCTTTCACCCACTTAAATACTTCTATCATATCTCCCCGCACTCTTCGTCTTTCTAGGCAATGCAAGTTAAGTTTCTTTAACCTATCCTGATATGGAAGGTTTCTAAGTCCTGGAATCATTTTTGTCATTCTTCGCTGCCCCAACTCTAGTGAATTTTATCCATTCTGTAATAGGGGCACCAGAACTGAACCGCATAATCGAGGTGTGGCCTGACTAGCGCAAGATATAGTGGCAATAAGACCTCTGCACTCTTGTTACTTATACTTCTAGATATAAAACCCAATACTCTGTTTGCCTTATTTCGAACATTAACGCACTGTTTTCTTGGCCGTAGGTCCGGGCTTACAAGTACCCCTAGGTCTCTTTCACAAGTCGACTTCTCTAGATTGATGTTGTTAAGGCTGTATACATTATCAGTATTTGTTCTTTCAATATTAAGTATGCTGCACTTGCTGGTGTTGAATTTCATTTGCCATTTTTCAGACCACCCCTACAGTTTATTTAGATCCTCCTGTAATGCATTTGCATCCTGCCCTGAATTAATCTGTCGCCCTATTTTGGTAAGGAATATCTTGGACAGCTAACACCTGAAATACTAGGTGTAATTAGTCAGTACCAATCACCAGGACCGGCAGGTGTCAAGGGTACTAGGAGAGGTTATGTGACCACCTGGCATCACACCCAGCAGACCCGGGTGAGGGAAGAGTGGCCGGCTGGCACCTGAGGCTCGTCCGGATATTATCCCTAAAGAGAAGAGAACATCACTACGGCAGTCATAGAAGGCTTATGCCACTACATCTTGTTGACTCGCACTATCAAATGTGTCTCTCCGAATCGTGTGTGTATATTTATGTGACTGCCAAGTACGTATTTATCAGTATGGATGTATGTATGTGTGTGAAGATGGTGTAACGGCCATGGGTTGTTACGAACCCTCCCACCCAGCACTACGAACCACGCCATCTAAGGCTGAGTATTGTAGAAGATTTTAGGTAGTCACTGCAATCGTAGGTTTAGAGGATAGATGATCAGGTGATCACCTCCTTCGCGCCCGCGCTACGGAGGTCTTTGGAGGGGGGGTGTGTTACGAACCCCTCCACCCAGCACTATGAACCACGCCATCTATTGTCTTGATCTACCTACCCAGCACCACGAGCAACGCCATCTAGGGACGAGACACGAGTATGACTCGTCTTAGTTACCACTCCGGGGTTTCCCTTCTCCATATCCTGGTTGTTGCGTCACCTCCTCAAAGTCTTCTTTGTCAGCTCCAATTCGAGGAGAGAGGACTTGGCTCTGGGAAGTGACCACAGGATCATCTATCCTCTAAACCTACGGTGCAGTGACTACCTACCGTCTTCTACAATACTCAGCCTTACTCGTCAGCCATCTCAGCTCCTCACTTAAGTACTTGTATCTTGTATTGCCTCCCCCACGTCCACTTGCTTCAAAATGGTTTATGTTGTATTAATATGTATATACTGTTAATGTTTAGGTTAAGTTTGGTTAAGGGTAATTTATAAGCTGAATATTTTGTTAAGGGATTTATGGTACTTTATTATACACAACGAAAACTCGCATCCTTTGTCTACCCTTTTATAGTCCGATTGTCTTTGTTTTTTTTTGTTGTTACCTGTTGGGATCTGGGTAGACGTATAACTATATTCTAAATCCCCAACCGTAACAGGGTATATCGCTCGCCTCCTGTCCTAAGTCGTTGGTTGTTTCCAAGCACCTCCAGTCCACCCAGCAGTGAATAGGGTACTTGACTTAACTGTTGGGAAGTGAAGGTGATCGAGTACAGTGCCGGTCACGCTGCTTATTTGTGTATAAAATGTATCGTACTCAGTGTGCTGTATCCACACACAGATCTGTGGGACTTATTTTCCTATTTGTGTGAGTCATGTTTGTATTTTCTATGTGCATTTGTATGTCATGAATACATTTGTGTGAGTGTGTGTGTCTGCATTTGTGCAATAATAATAATAATAATAATAATAATAATAATAATAATAATAATAATAATAATAATAATAAAGCACGAACCAAGTGGATACAAATCATGCTAGCGAACCGTTACCATGGCAGGGTAAATATCTAGCTAGTGACGCTGTTATCAATTCAATTTCAATTTCAATTGTTTATTCCTTGATAGAGGAAGCGGGATCCTAGTGCTGTCACTAGGTACCCCGCTGTTATCTGTAAATTAATGTAGTCACCACTGGAGACTGTCTCATGCTATCGTTTTCTTTAGCTACTAAACTATGCTATGTATTGTTATTGCCCGAACCGTTACCATGGCAACGCTCTGTCAATTTTGGCGCGATATACACTCGAAGTTTATCATGTGGCCTTAGTTCAATGTTGATCTAAAATAAAGTTTGGTGAAAATAAACAAATCCTTTATTGAGTTATTTTGGCAGACTGACAGACACGACAGATAATACCTGCCCCCATAGTCACAGGAGGATAGCGACATATACTGTACAGGTATATATGATACAGTATATTGTATAACACAGTACAATATAGTGAAGCAGGGAAGCTGTAGTGAAACATACTCTTTTAGGGCAAGTATTGTACGAATGGAAAAATAAGAGTAAGAGTTATTGATGGTGGTGTCACTGTGTGTGTAAGAGAGAGAGATTGGTGTTGGTGGTTTATAGTTAAAGTTTAGTGTACAAGTTTTATAGGAAGTTATTTCTTATCCATCTCCTCCTCTTCCGTCTTCTTCGTGTATTTCTTCTCCTTTATTTCTTCTTGAGTTTCTCCTTATTTGTTTCCTTCTTTTGCTACTTTTTCTTAATTTTTTCACTCTTGTTTTATTGTATTCCTTTTACTATCATTTTGCCTCACCTTGTTGTTATTATTATTATTACTATTATTATCATTATTATTATTATTATTATTATTATTATTATTATTATTATTATTATTATTATTATTATTATTATTATTATTATTGTTTTTATTTATTTTATTTTTTTAAGGTTGTACTTGTTCTTCCTTTTCATCTGTTTTTTACATTTTACTTTTCTCTTTTTTTCATCTCTTTCCCTTCCTTCGTCCTCTTCATCTCCTTACTTTCTTCTCCTCCTTCTCTTTCTCTTCAGTCTCCATCATCTTTCTACCCCCTTCCCTTTCATTCTTTAAGAACATAAGAATGGAGGAAACTGCAGCGGGCCTATTGGCCCATACTGGGCAGTCCCGTTTACACCCAACCCCTATTGCTCATATAAGCATCCAACATATGTTTGAAGCTATTCAGCGTATTCGACTTAATGATGATATTTGGTAACTTGTTCCATTCATCCACTACTCTGTTTCCAAACCAGTGTTTACCTATTTCCCGCCCAAATCTAAATTTGTCTAATTTAAAACCATTGTTACGAGTTCGCTCCTGGTTGAATAGTTTGAGTACCTTTGTAATGTCCCCTTTGTTTAGCCTTGCCTTCCACTTATACACCTCTATCAGGTCGCCCCTCGCTCTACGTCTCTCGAGGGAGTGCAAATTAAGATGCTTTAACCTGTCTCTATACTCAAGGTTCCTAATGCCCGGGATTAGTCTTGTCATTCTCCTCTGAATTCTTTCCAAGGATTCTATATCCATTCTGTAATACGGTGACCAGAACTGAACTGCATAATCCAGGTGTGGTCTCACAAGAGCAAGATACAGTTTTAGGATGACCTCGCTAGTCTTGTAACTAACACTCCTTTGTATGAACCCAAGTACTTTATTAGCCTTGTTACGAGCAAAAACACATTGTTTACTTGGCTTAAGGTTCCTACTTATCATTACTCCTAAATCTCTCTCGCAGTCGGATTTCTCTATGGCATCGTTGTTCATCTGTTATCTGGTTTCCCTGTTTACATCTCCTATACTGAGTACTTTACATTTGTCCACGTTGAATT